AAAAAACGTGTGGTACATTTTTACACATATAAAACAGATAATATGATACTAGAATGCCTGGCGGGTCTAAAATCGTCACAGACAGCTTGACACCACACCGCAACATTATGAAAAATCTTTGGCACTTGGTGATCTTTTACAATGTAAACTGCACCGTTTCATGTGTGCTCTTTTAGTTTTTGTTAAATTTTTTAAATTTTTTACTAGATCTAGATGCCGTGCTTTTTTTTTAAAATATGAAGCTGCTCCTGTGTGTATTTTGGCAGGGAGATAAGTACAATAAAATATTCATGGCCGAGGATTCACACAGATTTAGAGACAGCCAAATCACACACAGACAGAAAGACACAGACACAGACACACACACACACACACATATATATATATATATATATATATATATATATATATATATATATATATATATATATATATATATATAATCCCTTTTTACGTCACTAAATCTGGGGTGAGGGAATGAATGGCCTCAATTTATTTTTTACTTTTTTTTAATTTGGAGATCTGTTGATGAATATTTAGTCAATAGTAATAGTCAATGTGTGTGAAATGGGCTATTGATTCAAAATCTATTCTAGATTGTCCAAATTATAACATTGAGTTTGTTCAAGGGAGCAAGCTGCGAGTTTGACCTGAGAGAATTAGAAATAAAATATGCTCATGAGGCGCGTGAACCCGGCACAAGATGTAGGTCATTCCGCTGCTGGTATTGATTTTCCGGGGCTAAACAGACGTCTGCGACCCGATATGTTAATCCAGCGGGGTTAATAAATTACACAGCAGTGACCTCACGCGACTCACCCAGCCTCCCCACTGCGCATGCGCAGCCGAATGACTCACAATTCAATGGCTCTGCTGTGATAACCCCACCGTCAGTACTAAAATTACACCACTGATATGAACCCAATAGTTTTATATCTAAAAAAATGTTTTTAATCATACATATGTTAGTATTACTAATTTCTACCTTTATCCCGATTACCTGAAAATTTGTTTAGCCAGAATTAACGTTGGGCTGCAGCCAGCATGGACGACTGGGGTGGCACCGGTTCATGTGACCTTTGACCTGACCTCAAATGACATCGTATAGTTATCGACTTTTCATTTGTTCCAAGGCCAGTCTATTTACAGATGAGATAATAACACGTTAATGTGTTTGACGCATTTATGCTAAATTTTGTAAAAAATATAAAAAATAGTACTTAAAACTCAGAAATTAGAGTACAAAAAAAGTACAGGCCTATACATTTATATCTGGGACCGAGTTTTTGAAAAGAAATAGAATATTCAATAACCAAGGGTACTGACAAATTTGGCATCTACTTGACCACCACTTCCTTATTATTACAATCGCTAAAAGTCACGCCCCTTTTTCCTCGTCAACAGCAACTCTTTTAAGTTTCTCCCCATTCCCTCTCCCCATTGTTAAACCCCTCCCTGCAATTTTAAATATAGTCTACACGGTTGATGATGCTCTAACACGATAACTATTATTACTTTTCTGGATGATTAATCATCATTTTCCATTAGAAAAAAAAATCTGGACTACTTCTAGACTGAAACACATACGTTGCGACCCACTCAACAAGCAAAAAATATATAATTAATTAAGTAATTTAAAATTTTAAAAAAACTTGAGTCCTTGTCTTTTATCTTTCGTATATATATATATATATATATATATATATATATATATATATATATATATATATATATATATATATATTATATATATATATATATATTTATATATATATATATATATATATATATATATATATATATATATATATATATATATATATATATATATATATATATGATTATGTGTTAAAGAGGGAGGGGGCAATAATAAGAGTATACCACGGTATATGCCATTCACTTAAAAAAATCTTTGACAAAAAAGAAAATCCATTAGTAGACGAAATTATATAAATAAAGGGAAATAACTCAATAAATATAAAAGTCTGTAAAAATCTCACAACTTGTCTGAGTTAACGAACATTGTCCATAAATTACAGTGCTTCACATATTAGGGGTAGGGAAGGTTCAGACTTTTGTAACGATGTGCTACGTGGTGGTGGGTAAAGAAATGTGACGTAGAATTTTGTTTTATATTTAGAACACAAATAATCAAAACCATTCAGGCAGATGCGTAGCGACCTATTCCGGCGCCCGGGCGAACTATCAATTGTGCGCCCCCTCCCTCCCATTTATATATAGTTATTCCTGTCTGTGAAAAAGCTCCCCTCCCCCCCCCCCCTCTCCACCCCAGTTGGAAAGGTTTGTAGCGTTTTTTACCAGTTACTATCTCGTAACATTTTCTATTTCGGTGCCACAAAATTGATAGAGAAAACAGATAGATTCTAAATCAGTGTGTAAAGCCTTGAAATCGTTTATTTTCTGACATTGACTTTATATAATTCAATACTTAGCTTAAAATGAGCTTTTAAATTAATTTCTCTCCCCCTTTTGGCGCCCACCCGCCCTCCCCTAGCAACGCCATTGCATTCATGCCCTAATTAGGAGCTGGGTGATATTTGATGACGTCCATTTTGGAAATGAAGTCCTGGCAATTTGTGACGCCGTATGACTACTGTGGGGTAAGTACTTTATGGAAGAACGTTAATTAATTCGATGTTAATGTTCTAAAAGCAATCAGAGTCCTTTTATTCTTGATCCCATCCGACAATCTACATCTATTTCAATATTCAAAATTGTGAGAGGTATAACGCCGTTAAGCTGATAAGTCAGTCACAAAAAAAGGGGTGGTCCCACACTGAAAGAACACAAGAGACGTGTGCCTAGACCCAATCTTAAACCTCAATCAGATTTTCTTCCAGGCATCTCTTTTCAGCACTTGAAATTTTCGGGGGGGGGGGTCGGTCAACATTTTTCGGGGGGACAACGACACTAGTCGAAGAAAGCCTACCCCCCCCCCCCCCCCCGAACGAGATGGATTTTATATAGTAAACATACACTTTTACCAGTGCCCGCCCCCCCCCCCCCGCCCCCAAAAAATGTTGACCCCCCCCCCCTTCAAATTTCAAGTGCCCCCCCCCCCCCCCGGAGAAAAAAAGCCTGGAAGAAACACTGACCTCAATCATGGGGGAGGGGGCTATCCAAGGGTCCTGTGACTATTACGATACAGAGAATTATATATTGTTATAACTGTAAATTATGTAAAGCAAAGCGATCCGGAAATGGCTAGCTCCATCCCGGTTAACCTCCCCCTTAACCGTCTGTATCCTCAGAGTTTCTTCCACGCATCTCTAGAAAAAATTCTACCGCCCCCCCCCCCCCCCCCCCCCCCCCCCGAACAAAATAAAATTTATATAATTTATATAGAAAATATATAATTTTAACAGTGTCCCCCCCCCCTCCCCCGAAGAAAGTCTACCGCCCCCCCCCCCCCCCCGAAAATTTCAAGTGCCCCCCCCCCCCCCCCCCCGGAGAAAAAAGTCTGGAAGAAACACTGTGTATCCTCTTTGAGGATAATTCAGTCGAATTGTACCACGCAGGGCATGTGCCAAGGGGGAGAAGGCGAGGTTGACAAAGAAGAAAATGGCTGGACTGAGTTGTCTGTTACAGTAGGACCTGGACGGATGGTAAAGCATTGTTGTTATGGGTAAAACAGATATAGATTCTAAATGCTCCTATGGCTATTCCTTAAAATTTCTTGTAAATATCATCAATACATTTATTTGGGTCCTAGCTTGTTAAAAAACTGGATTGTTATTACGAATTTTCAAGTGCCTCAGTTAGCCGAGTATAAATTAGCCTAATCTATTACATACAACTATCCTATTTTTCTAAATGTGTTATGTAGATGTAAAAAAATCACTATTAATAACATTTCATTAATTTTTTTTCACATCATTCATGAAACCATAAACATTATCATTATCATTATATCATTGCCACCTAGAAATTCTAGACCTAGTTAACTCCCCTTCTTCTCATAAAGCCTATCTAAAAAAAAAATTTAAAGTTTTTAAATGGCTAATATTATATCTGGAGTCTAGGCTGCATTTAATTGAATGAGCTTTTTAACTAATTTTTTTTTAAGTATCATCTTTATATACATAGGCGTATGTGAACAGTTTTAAAGAAATCGGTTTGGTAGAGTATAGGCCCTAAGTGTCCAGGTGGGTCTGTGGGTGCAAATATCAGCCAGATTTTTTAACAAAGTACGAATGCGCGGGGATTTTTTGATGGTAAATTCTGCCTGTTTCTCGCTGTTCGGCACATGCTTCTTTAATTCTGTTGAATAGATCTGCTTTTTCAAAAACCGGTTTGGTGCAGATAATATGGCAAATCCTCGACATTTCTTACATTGTGATAAGTCCCGCTGTTTGTGATGTTTATAGACTTTTTCCCATTATGTGGGCGAGGTTTCTGTTGACCAAATTTTATTAAGCAAATTGCGTAGCTGATTATTTACACTCCTTTTTTAGGACCTGGTATGGTACATCGTCTAAAGTTATTAGAATCTATATAAAGTATATTTATCAGTAGTAACGTTTATGTGACTTTTTTTAGACTTGAGACTATGAAAAATATCTTGTTTAGTTTGTAGTTTGTGCTTTCTTGATTTAATTTGGATTACTGTTCGCTTCGCATTTTGTCTAGATCTAGATTCTAGGCCCTATTGTTTAGTTTTTCCAGGTTGTCAGCACTATAGATTAGTATAGATCTATCCGTGATAAAGGCTGACAATCTTGATATGTTATCACAACCTCAAAGTCTAGTGGAGGATGAAGCACATTTTGCCTGGCTTCTTTCTTATAAGACCGTCTCACTTGGTTAAACCTGTCTGATTTGAGAATCATTGCAGCGACCACAGTGCACTGTATGTGCAACGAGTGACTGACGTCACAGCGTATAGATCTAGATATCTAGGCCTAACCAACGACATTTTTGTACGCGGAATCTGAAATTGTTTACGGAGTGATATAATATAGATTCTAGATCTCGGATAATTAGATCTACAGTCGAGCCTGGTGAGGCGGTACTTACTTGTTGGGGCCCATTGCTTCTTAATTATTTTGTTTTTTTACGTTGAAATTCTAGATTTAGATCCAGATTTATCTGGTTTAAATTTCGTTGTGTTGTGCAATCTGGAGATCGAGCACACACTTCAGGCACTTCACACAGTGACAGGTGTGAAATTTTTTTAGCCTACGTCGCAGGTAACAATTGTTTACAAATGTTTTCTTTGTGGCTTAATTAAACTTAATTTTATTGGTAATCTATCGTTTTAGGTACGTAAAATCGCCCGCGACTAGTAATGTGAAAAACAGGTGACTCCTTAAATTTCTAATAATTATTTCACATTTTGAGGAGGATTTATGTTTTGAAAAATACAAAAATGTTTCCTTGTTTCATTTATGTACCTGTTTTCAAACAATTGAATTAAAACTTTTCAATAATAAATAAAGACTAGCGATGTTTCCAACAGATGCAACCATGCTCATTTACTATAGCAGCCATCTTGTTTAACTTCTTTCTTTGTTGACTAATAGCGCAAGATTCAGGGGAAGGCAACTCTATTTTACAAATGGCTGCTGTTTATATAGGAAATACTGCTCACAAACACTGCTGTTAAAAGTTAATTTCTTGCCTATTTTGATATATTTAGCTATTGATTTAGGTTTATTATTCATTTATCTATAATATTTGACACAAATATATCAAAATATACTTCTATTAAAGCCTTGACAATGAGGTAACTTTTTCGTACATTACTAGCCGCGGGCGATTTTACGTACCCAAAACGATAGATTACCATTTTATTTTATTGTTTTTTGTAAGATTATGGCTGTTAATGGATTGTAAATGTAACACTAATTACTAGAATCTAATACTAGCCGTATTGGGCTTTGGGGCTATTCCCAGCCGACTGTGAATAGTCCCAATACGGCTATTCGTAGTATGTAGATCTACATCTAAGTAAGTCTTAGTCTAGAGCTAGACTTGTTAAAATAACATGATTTTCTACTGTAGATTATACCTAATCTAAAAATAGAGATGTTGGTAGCAGTTAGTAGATTTCTAGATCTACATTATAAGAGATTTAATTTCCTTCAAAGATTTTAATAAACTTGTTATCAAAAGTTGACTGTATGAGCCAATGAGGGCTTAAAGGAAAAAAATGCTTCCCACAAACGCCAAATCCAAATAGATTATATATCTAGATCTAAAATCATCATCTTTTCCAGTTCGTACCCAAGACAAATGGGGCAGATAAAGTAGAGTTCATCTGTTTCAAAGTCCTTGGAATATGAAGGGATAGTGTGGTCAACACTATGACAAGCCACCTTTGTTTTCACTTAAGTGAGTTAGGTACCCATCAGAGCTGGGTGGACTCAGAGACATTCTATGGGATTTTAACTTTAAGACATTCGGGTTAGCAGTCTAGCTCTCTACTGCTAGGACAAGCCATCCAATTTTGTTGATAATATTATTTTGTTTAAGATGGCTGACTACTGACTTGCAAATGCAGTTGTTCAAGTTTGTTTTGAAATTTCAATACAAATCTTCTTACTTCATTGAACCAGTGTTTCTTCCAGACTTTTTTCTCCGGGGGGGCACTTGAAATCTTCGGGGGGGCGGTAAACTTTCTTCCGGGGGGCGGACACTGTTAAAAGTATATATTTTCTATATAAATTATATAAATTTCATTTCGTTCGGGGGGGCGGTAAAAATTTTTCGGGGGGGGCTTTGCCCCCCCGAAGAGATGCCTGGAAGAAACTCTGCATTGAACCAGTTTGGGTTACTTGATAAAATAATAGCCTCAAGTGGTTTATTTAACTCATTTTTTTAATTATTTGAACAGCCAAATTTTTATTATTGTTTAGATCTATCACCAAAAAAAATGAATTCAGAGGGTGTCCCTGAAACAGAAAGCACTTCCCAACAAATTGACAAGATCCTACCAGTTCAACGTGAGTGTAAGCTATCCAATGTTAATTGTATGCATATTAAAGTTTTAAAATAAAAATTACTGAGATGTGTGTGACAAATAAAAACTTGTAATTTAAATTTTACCAACTTGAGGCCTACCCACAAGTCTACTATTACCTATGAACAATGAAATTTAAAGCATCATAGAACTAGTTAAGGGGGGGGGGATATTTTAATTTTCATAAATTTATCTATTGTAGCAATTCAATACACCTGCAATTATTTTAATGATTAGAGATTGTCAGATCTACTAACAAATTATGTTAATTGCAGATGAACCTTCAGCAGGAAGATATGGCATTGCCCAACATGCAGAAGAAGCTGGTAAATATTATTAACAACAAAGTAGATTGCAGAGCAATACTTTGTAATGGTCATAAATATAAAACTGTAAAAACAGTATACATCACAATTCCCTGATGGTTTTAGCCAGTGCTGTTTTAATTAATCCTATCACCTCCAGTGTTTACTCTAAGCTGCGCGGTTGCCAGCCGCGCAGTAGTTTTGAACCTGCCACACAGTCCTTTGGAGTCATCCATGTATGGGAAGTGAGGCTCCGACATAAATTGCCTTATGCGTGTGGACTTTTAAAAGGGAATTAAATGGACTTTTGTTGACAGGCAAGGGAGGGGGGGGGGGCACGGCGTGTCCAAAATCCAAAAAATTTGTGGACGTTATAAATGGATAACACCTTTTGTAAAAAAATGTATATCCTTGTATAAGATTTTAAAACACTGCACACACAAAATACAAGCTGCACACTAGCCTTTTCCCCTTAGAGGGAATATTGATCACCTCCAGTGTTTTCCTTGGGTATTTGTAAAATATATTTGATCAATCTGTTTTTAATGACATGCCCTTAGTTTACTATTTATTATTTACAGATCAACCTCTAGGGACAAAGGACAGTAAACCATTGAAACTTATGCCTAGTAGTTCTGAAGAAAATATTGCTGAACTTTGTAGTAAGTATGATTCCAATTCTATCAAAACTTATCCAAAACCTCTTAAGCTACGATATTTATCTGACTTAGTCTACTGGTAGTGGAAACTGGCTGAAAGTTTTAGACTGTACAACTCAAGTACATCCACAACCACTTAATCAAGTGAATTCTCCTTCATGTGCCTTACTGTCTGGCCCAAGAGAGTGCTTATAAAAGGTGTTTCTGTAATGATATTGCATAAGTAAAAGTTAATAGTCATTGTATTTGTCCCTAATTGCTGTTTCTGTATCTTACTAAAACTTAATATGCTCAAGTCATTTTTATTTTTTTATTTTCTTGTTTAAATTCAATTCTGATATTTAGAGATCAGCACATCCGGTATTTTTCTTTTTATTTAAAGTTATAGTAAGAAAACTATCATTTTTTTTTTTATTAAGCCAGATCTGTTTAACTTTATTTTACTTTTTATTACTTTTTAGCAGGAAATAAATTAGATCAACATGTACATTTTTTTTTAAAAATAATGTTCTGCACATAATGTTGTGACTTAATGTTTACAATTTAAAGAAACTAAGCAATACAATCAATTATAAATAAATACAGTCTAGAATAGGTTGTAGAATTTTCATAAACAAAATGATGAACACAATAATTCATCTTTAAAGTTAAATTTTAAAAACAAAATTACGTTTCTTAAGTCTTAATTAGGGGTCGGCGTGGTTGAGTCTGTAAAGCTCATGGTTGCTAACCCAAAAGTCTCGAGTTCAAACCCTCAGGCAGATGAGGCTCAGAGGCTGGGGACAGCTACTCTTCTAGGATAGACAACTCCAAAATGAAACAAATGCTTCCTTGTAGATTGTTCTTGGTTGGACAAAGGCTATGGAAGCAAATCCAAAAAGAAAAGAAGGCTGAAATCAGAGTCAGCGGCTTACATGGCGCATAACAAGTTGACATATATACTTATTTGTGTTGGAGGGATTCCCAACACTAAAATTAAGAACGCAGTGGAAGAAGAAGAAAGTCTTTATTCATAAAGGTCATATTATTTATTGCAGATGAAAAAGAAAGCACTTCCCAACAAATTGACAAGGTCCTAACTGTTCAACGTGAGTGTAAGCTATCCAATGTTAATTGTATTCAATTTAAAGTTTTAAAATAAAAATTACTGAGATGTGTGTTACAAATAAAACCTTTTAATTTAAATTTTACCAACTTGAGGTATACCCAGTAGTCTATTATTACCATGAACAATGAAATTTATAGCATCATAGAACTAGTTAGGGGGGAAGGGGGGGTGGATATTTTTTTTTCATAAATTTATCTATTGTAGCGATTCAATACACCTGCAATTATTTTAATGATTAGAGATTGTCAGATCTGTTAACAGACCTTTACTATATCAAAGCATGTTATTTGCAGATGAACCTTCAGCAGGGAGAGATGGCATTGCTCAACAAGCAGAAGAAGCTGGTAAATATTATTAACAACAAAGTAGATTACAGAACAATTACTTTGTAATGGGCTTAAATATAAAACTGTAAAAAGTATACATCACAATTCCCTGATGGTTTTAGCCAGTTTTGTTTTCAGTAATCTTATCACCTCCAGTGTTTTCCTTGGGTATTTGTAAAATATATCTGATCAATCTGTTTTTACAAGCTTTTATTTAACTCACTTCCTCTGTCTGTGGACAGTCTGTCGTCAGTCTAGATAGAAACGCAGGAGTGAAAATTCGGACAGTTTTACTTGACCGATACGATTCACAGTTGGCACGTGGGTCAACACATGAAGACAATGCAATCTGAAACTAAATTTGACTTAATTGGATGCCTAATTAATTTTTTATTAATTAATTAAAATTTGGACCGAATCAATAGGCATGTCTATGCCGACCGCACCACACGCGTCATCACGTTCCATAGCTGCGCCATCAAGTTCAGTAGGCGCGCCATCATGTTTAATAGGCGCAATGGTTTTTAGTCATGTAACTCTATTGTGAATAAAACATGTAAAGTACTGAAAAAAAAATTCATAAAAAAATGTTTTAATAACAAGCTTTTATGTACTAATGCACTAAAAAGTAGAAAATAAATTATACACTACTATTTAAATAACTATAAAGAAAAGCGTGGGTCTCTTCTTAAACATTAGTGAAGGTATCCAATAGGTACTAAAGTACTAAAGTGACCCACGCTTTTCTTTATAGTTATTTAAATAGTAGTGTATAATTTATTTTCTACTTTTTAGTGCATTAGTACATAAAAGCTTGTTATTAAAACGTTTTTTTATGAATTTTTTTATCGACATGCCCTTAGTTTACTATTTATTATTTACAGATCAACCTCTTGGGACAAAGGACAGTAAACCATTGAAACTTATGCCTAGTAGTCCTGAAGAAAGTATTGGTGAACTTTGTAGTAAGTATGATTCCAATTCTATCACAACTTATCCAAAATCCCTTAAGCTATGATAGGTATCAGACTTTGTCTACTAGTAGTGGAAACTGGCTGAAAGTTTTAGACTGTACAACTCAAGTACATCCACAACCACTTAATCAAGTGAATTCTCCTTCATGTGCCTTACCGTCTGGTCCAAGAGAGTGCTTATAAAAGGTGTTTCTGTAACGGTATTGCATAAGTAAAAGTTAATAGTCATTGTATTTGTCCCTAATTGCTGTTTCAGTATCTTACTAAAACTTAATATGCTCAAGTCATTTTTATTTTTTTATTTTCTTGTTTAAATTCAATTCTGATATTTAGAGATCAGCACATACGGCATTTTTCTTTTTATTTAAAGTTATACTAAGAGAACTATCATTTTTTTTTTATTAAGCCAGATCTGTTTAACTTTATTTTACTTTTTATTACTTTTTAGCAGGAAATAAATTAGATCAACATGTACATATTTTAAAAAAATAATGTTCTGCACATAATGTTGTGACTTAATGTTTGCATCTAAAGAAACTAAGCAATACAATCAATTATAAATAAATACAGTCTAGAATAGGTTGTAGAATTTTCATAAACAAAATGATGAACACAATAATTCATCTTTAAAGTTAAATTTTAAAAACAAAATTACATTTCTTAAGTCTTTATTAGGGGTCGGTTGAGTCTGTAAAGCTCATGGTTGCTAACCCAAAAGTCTCGAGTTCAAACCCTCAGGCAGATGAGGCTCAGAGGCTGGGGACAGCTACTCTTCTAGGATAGACAACTCCAAAATGAAACAAATGCTTCCTTGTAGATTGTTCTTGGTTGGACAAAGGCTATGTAAGCAAATCCAAAAAGAAAAGAAGGCTGAAATCAGAGTCAGCGGCTTACATGGCGCATAACAAGTTGACATATATACTTATTTGTGTTGGAGGGATTCCCAACACTAAAATTAAGAACGCAGAAGAAAAAGAAAAAAGTCTTTATTCATAAAGGTCATATTATTTATTGCAGATGAAAAAGAAAGCACTTCCCAACAAATTGACAAGATCCTACCAGTTCAACGTGAGTGTAAGCTATCCAATGTTAATTGTATGCATATTAAAGTTTTAAAATAAAAATTACTGAGATGTGTGTTACAAGTAAAAACTTTTAATTTAAATTTTACCAACTTGAGGCCTACCCACAAGTCTACTATTACCTAGGACAATGAAATTTAAAGCATCATAGAACTAGTTAGGGGGGGGGAATATTTTGATTTTCATAAATTTACCTAGTGTAGGGATTCCATACACCTGCAATTATTTTGATGATTAGAGATTGTCAGATCTACTAACAGACCTTTACTATATCAAATTATGTTAATTGCAGATAAACCTTCAGCAGGAAGATATGGCATTGCCCAACATGCAGAAGAAGCTGGTGAGAATTATTAACATTAATTAAAGTAGATTGTAGAGCAAGTACTTTGTAATGGTCATAAATATAAAACTGTGTAAAAAACAGTATACATCATAATTCCCTGATGGTTTTAGCCAGTGCTGTTTTTAGTAATCCTATCACCTCCTGCATTTTCCTTGGGTATTTGTAAAATATATCTGATCAATCTGTTTTTAATGACATGCCCTTAGTTTACTATTTATTATTTACAGATCAGCCTCTTGGGACAAAGGACAGTAAACCATTGAGACTTATGCCTAGTAGTCCTGAAGAAAATATTGCTGAACTTTGTAGTAAGTGTGCCTCCAATTCTATCAAAACTTACCCAAAACCCCTTAAGCTACGATATTTATCTGACTTAGTCTACTGTTAATGGAAACTGGCTGAAAGTTTTAGACTGTACAACTTAAATTTAAAAAATGTTTAAACAACAAGCTTTTATGAAATAATGCAATAAAAAGGAGAAAATAATGATTTTCTTTAAATATACAATAATACACTACTATTTGAATTACTATAAATTACTATTTCAGCACTGGTGTACAGTAGTTCATTCATAATTTTTAATGTTTGGCTTTTTATTAATAGCTTTATTTAAGAAAATCTTATTTTTATAATTATTATTCTAGCCAAACCTGTCTCAGCTTCTCCAATTGATCAAGAAAACAGTGAAGCCACAGCTGTTGGTAAGATTCATTGTAGTTTTTGTCAATGTTGGGCTAAAAGGAATAAAACCTACAATACTTCAGCTTTCAACAATACACTGTGATTGTTCTTACTAATAGATGGGTTTCCAAACTGGGACGCAATGATCTGAGAGGCTGCCAAGTTTTAGTACAGTAATGCAATTTGTTTTTTCAATATTGACTTGCTAAGGAACAGAAAAACAAAAATTGTTCTCAGTTATGAATCTATGAAACCTTTAAAACTCAAACGTCACTTAGAGACTAATCATTTAGAACACTAGAATTATCCTAAATTCTTTTGTTGGGATGAAAATACTTTCAAACAACAAGTTTTCAACAAAAGAGCATAGCATTACTTAGAGCAAGCAGCATATGGAGCTATGTTGGAAAATGCCAGCCAGAAAAAACCTCACACAATTGCAGAAAATCTCATCAAACCCTGCATGTTGAAGCTGGTGAAATTAATTGTTGAGGATACTTACTGTATTTTTTTCTTCTACTGGTCATCGAGTCAACTAGATGATTAGGACTTTTAAAAAAAAGAATCTTGATAAATATATAAGGAGTGTGGGACTGAACATTTAAAAATGAAAATTTAAGTCACAAAAGTGCAGCAAGCAACACACTCTTAAAACCGTTTAAACTTTATTTTCCTGGGCAGTATATTGTTATTATACGTCTATAATGAGGGAGAGAAGCAGGCATACAAATAAGGACATGCAAAGCAAGATTGCAGCAAGCTAAAATTGGGTTGAGGTCCAGTGATATACCACTCAAGATTAAACTAAAGGGTGTTTGATACAACAGTAGAACTAGTTGTGCTTTATAGAACAAAGACATTAGAACCACAGTCATTTATCAACTAATGTCTTAATCTTTACATCCATTGGACCAATGCCATTACCAATAACAAAACTATTGAAGTAGATAAGGTTCGGTTTATCTTTTTCTGTGACTTCTGAATAAAGAGGGTTGGTGTGGTCAAGACTAGGACAAGCCAATTACAAGCCACTAAGTTAACAGTTAAGTGCTCTAAGTAAAAACTATGGCTGCAAAGAAATCAATGGCCTTTCTGAAGATGAAATTCTCCATAAAGATATTTAAAAATGTAGAAGGATTGATCACATGCTCAGGTAGCTGATGACCAGCTAAAAAATACAGGCTGAAACCTGCAGTATAAAAATGTTGAGGTCAAGAAAGACCTGTAGACAAGAGTAAACGGATGACATAAAAAAGATGGGGTGAGAGGGAAATTAGCTGAGGATTTGTGATCTATAGGGCTCTTATGTATACTTATGTCCAAGTGAGATAGCAGGCTACCTGCTTCATTTTATTACTTTGTCAATCAACATTTGTGTAATGCAGGCTTTTTAATATTACTTCATACTGATATTACAGACCAAGACTGTAAAAAGACTGGTGAACTTCCTGCATCTGGGATACTTGTGAATACTGGCCCAAAAAGGCGAGGACACAAAAGACTTAAAAAATTTAAGGAGAGAGGTCATTATGTTAGACAAATTTATGTAGAATTAATAAATGCATGTGTAAATGTAGGCAAATTTATCAATTTCTCCTTAAGTAAAATGAAAATTTCAAAAGTATATGTCAAAATTAGAATAAATAGCAGGCTTACAAGTGACTTGTATAATAAGAGAGAATATTTTTTTACTAGACTAAAATTTGCAGTTATAAATAAAATAAAAAACATTTCAATGAGAAAAATGTTTTTAAAAATGTTAAATCTATTTTTGCTAAATAAATTTAGATCTATGAATAAAATTATAACTTTCTCTAGATCTATCAATTCACAAAATAAAAATTCAATGCAATCAGTTATACTTAAAAAAATTGAAATAAATAAATCATTAAAAGACATTTTTAGTTTGAGATTAAATAATAAGTTAGTGTTATTTGAAAAATACAATAAAATAAATATAATGTATTTAGAAAAGTACAATGAAAATTATAAATTGGATATATTTCCTAATGGCTATGGTAATTATAATTTTAGTATTACTATTATAAACACTTTTATACATTCTTATTTTGTTGGTGAGTTTGATGAATTACCATTTGTCATGAAAAGATATTTTTTCTTTGTATTTGAGATATACAAACTTGCCAGTAATTGGATAAAAGGAGAGGCTATTAGATTAAGTTCAAAAGCTGATAAAGCAGGGTTTGATTTTAAACATTGTACTGGATGTGATATATTTAATTTGCCAAACTTTTATGATTTTTCTGCAGAAGTAAGTAAAGATTGTGTAGTCAAATTAAAATTAAAATTGGAAGAAAAAAAACAAATCTTAGTTTTAGAGGTTTTATATTGTAAAAACTTGATCTTAGAAATTAAATATGAAAATTATAAGAGGGAAATAACTTCCAGAGATGACTCCATATTAGCCTGCTGCAATTTAATTTTAAATTATGAAAAAAATAATAGCAGATCAGTTGCAGATTTTTTAACTGAACATAGAAAACAATGTTTAAGTCCTGCATGTAGAAAAATTTTGAAGAAATGTGTCCAACCCCTTGAACCAAGTGAAAAACTTTTTCAGATCCCCATAAGAGGTGAATATAAGGATGCTCTTAAACATTTTAGATATTTAACATCAGTCTTTGTTCAACGCTCTATGAATTGTTTTAGTTTAGTATTAAAAGGACATTTACATATCACTGTGCGTAATAGGAGCACATTTAATAACTCACCTACCCTTCAAATTTTACTTGGCAAATTAAACTCTAATGTGAATTTTAACGAGTTAAAATACCGATTTGTTAAATATTTATTATTTAGTTAACCATATAGGCTTCATTAGTTAAAATGTTTTTTCTTTAGATTTTCTTATTATTCATGTTATTACATGTTTACTTTAGAATACTGCTTTGAATGTGTACATTTCTGTAATTTTAATTAATCCGATATGTCAAATCTTAATTATTTAAATTAACACATATGGTTAGGCTGCATTTTTAAAATGTTTTTTCTTTAGATTTTCTTATTGCTTTGTGTTTTTGTATATACATAAAACATTAAAATGTATCTTTATAAATCTTAAGAAATCATTTAGAAATATTTTTTACACACCAGTACTACAAATAGTATAATAGACGTATAACATTTTCATAAACCAGTGTAATATTTTATAATATTTTACATCAACAAAAACTAATAATTTTTAAATTATTAATTATGAGAATCTCAAAGTTTGAGTTAAGAGAAAATATCACTTTTGTACTTTTTAATTTGACCTAATTGTTACACCTTATATACTGTGTTTAAAGAAACAACCTGTTAGCCTTTGGTGTCAACTTACTTATCAAACCAATCTAATGTTTATGTTCACCCCTTAGTCCATATAACACATTATAACAACGTGGAAATCTCCCATACACATAAACAATATCCTAATATGTAAATAAAAAAAAAAGTAAAATTACACTTTTGAACATGGACGTTGCATGGGGCAGATGAAGTAGGGATAATTTAGTCAGCACAATGCCTAGCCATTTGTAATTTTCCTTATGATAGTCATGTACTATTCAGAGCTGGGTGGGCTCAGTGACGTCCTATGGACTCCAGCCTAATAAGAAACGTTGAGGTCAGTAGTTGTGTGCTGCATGGTACAACCACACCGTCTCATCCAAAATTGTTAACATCTTTGATATTTAAAAAAAATTTCATTCAAAAAACATCATTTCTACAACTGAAATAAATATTCAGCATAGACTTTTTGGAATAGTTTTTTTATTTTTAGAAAATTAAAGTGTGATAACCTACTGCTAATTGTAAAATGGAGCTCACAAATTTTATGTTGTTCACTTTCATGTTTTCCACAATTGATGGTGTTGTAATTTTCTTTTTGGCTTTTATTGACAATATAAACCTATGAAAAAATGTAATTGAGTGTTTGTTCTTCATGAACATTATGTTATGATTTGTTCTATACATTTTGGCTGTCCCTTGATCCTTCAGCGATCATTTAGATTTCACCCTCCCCTATTTAACATATATTTCCATAGACCCCCCCCCCATACATTATATATAATCATTCTAAGGACCCCTCCATAACACATAACCACTGTACAAAAAAAATGTTTTTAAGAAAATTGGCTATCAGATCTCGTCTACCTCCTTTTACAATTTGTTAAATTTAATTTAGAATAGAAACAATTTTCTGTGAATCCCTATCTAAAATTCCGTGTACTGAACTGACACGTGGATGTAAAACATTAGCCAAGATTCCATAAACGTGAACAAATGATGTTCAGAATAATTAATGACATGTATGCAGACAAAGAAATAACCTAGTCTGAGAACCTCCGATTATTAAATTGTGAGAACCGCTCATTACAGCAACCTGCATTCAAGGCTATGTTTGGATGCGAAATAAAAGTGTCTCCAACATGTCCTGAAAGATTGTCGATCACTTTTCTTACAACCTACAGTACAGACAAACACCTTAAGGACGTCAATATAGACAAATAAGGACGTCAAACAAACAAGTAATCGAGAATATCACAAATCCAGATTTTTTTTTTCCGGAACTGAACATGCTAACCTGGCGTTGGTTACAGCGTCAAGTCCGGCTGCCTGACAATAACAATGTAAAAGATAATGTGTCGTGTGTGAGTACAGTCCTACCAGATCATTCTCATGGATTTGACAGTAAAGATGTCATGCTGTAGCGTAGCGAGGTGGGGGACACATATGTCCCCGGGCGCCGACCTTAGGGGGCGCCAAAATGGGTTGGAAAAATAAATTGAAAGGTTGAGGGAGGTGCAAAACAAAAGTTTGAGAGGGGGGGTGCAAATCGAAAAGTTTGTCGCCGGGAAGGGTCGCTACGCCTCTGATGCCACGCGATATGTGGAACAAGTAATCCATCAAAACGGAATGAATAATCACTGTTCCAAGAATAACGAAAATCATCACTTCCAATGTCACTCCATATATTGTATCTCTCCGTATCTCATGTTCTACTGACTGCTGTTCTCTGCGGTCGATCTTTCTCTATGACGGTTGTACTCAAGGTACTCTTTATGAGCCAACTCGGGCGCTGCACTCACATAAAGCTCGCCGGGTCTTCGTTGCACAAATGGCCACTATAGCCTAGGTAGGCCAACCCCCAGGGGCGGAACTACCATACCGCCAGACCCCGCAATGCGGGGGGGCCCAGGACGTTTAGGGGCCCAGTTCCGACTAAAAAACAATGCACTTTTTTTCAAAAATTATGTTTTTCATACATCTTGAAAGTGGTTTTGTAAAAAAAAAAACAACAACAGGTCTACTATAGCAGAGATTGTTGCGTAGAAAAATAATTTAAAATCTACAAGAGCTATAGTTTGAAAGGTAGGTAAACATTCACACTACTTCCATGACTTACTGCCCTTCTTTAAAATAGGGATGCCCACGAAGCTCATTTAAATAGTTTTGTACTATGTATATTAAAAAGCAATTAATTCTCTGAATTGTTACTTAAATAAGACGTACTATACAATGGTATAGCTATAAAAATCAATGTTTTCAAAATTGATATTATAAAAGCCAAAAATGAAAAAAATAAACATAACGCGAGAAACCATTCACGAATCAAGCTAACGTCCTTATATATTTTTGACCATCATATTTAGGATATAATTGTAACTCATGATTGGTTTGGACTAGATTTTTTCTGGTTTGTTCTCTCAGAATGGTTATATATTGCAATTAAATAGACTTAATTACTCAGTTAGGATATAAATTACATATATACGAGCCGGCCCGCGGCATAACATACGCCGCTATTTAGTTGTTTCTAATTTTCAATAATTCATAATTTGTGAATTCGACAGTACCAACGCTGACACTGAAAATATTTCTTTAAAACACTATAAGTAGCTCGTTAAGGACCATAACCCCCCCCTTCCTTCCCCCTCCCCCCACCCCCTTACGTTTAAAATCGTTGGCTCTGCTTGTAAACATTTAGAGTGAACACAGCTCACTAAAACCATGTAGGGGTGGGGAGGTAGGGAGAGCGTTTGCAGCTTGTTTTCTAACGGCTCGAAGAGGAGAATTATATATATATATATATATATATATATATATATATATATATATATATATATATATATATATAGGGGGCCCTAATTTTTTCTTTGCGGGGGAGCCTTTTTTTTCTAGTTCCGCCACTGCCAACCCCGTGTTTCTCTTCTATTCGCCTTCTGTCTCCGTCTTCATCCGATCTCTGCACACGACGTTCTGTTTCTCGGCCTTTTGCGCACACAGAAAAATGAAAATTCATTGACATAATGTTTCATCTCTTGTGACAGCCTTAATTAGTGCGTTGGGCTTGTATGAAAACTCACTTCGAACAAACTCATGACATTTTAACATGACAATGTTAGCGTCATCCAACCAAAGCATGTACTGAAAAGCGTAATGGCAAACATGTACCATATATAACAGAAGAGCTATGGTTGTTGCTATCACTTTACATTCATCCTGTAAATATTTGCAGAAAAAAGATCTTAAAAAACTTCCATATTTTTATAAAGAAACAAAGAGAGATGAAATTTTATTATAACATCGGGCTTTGACTCAGACCTACCAGTGGCGTAGCCAGGATCGTCTCAAGGGGGGGGGGGGGGTTCCAATTTTTACCCGGGGACAAACTTTCGATTTGCACCCCCCCTCAAACTTTCGATTTGCACCCCCCCCCCCTCAAACTTTCGAATTGCACCCCCCCTCATACTTTATATATATATATATATATACCGAGGGGTCTATGGGGGGTTATGACCCCCCCTAACCCCCCCCCCCTGCCTACGCCACTGAGACCTAATCCAATTGAGTCTACATTAATAAACTGATTAACTATTTAATTTAGGACTCAATTGGCTCAATGAACTAACCTTACGCCAAACCAGTTTGAAAGTTCGAGTTTCGTAACACTGTTACTAAGCTAGCAAATTGGAAATGTGCATAATCTATATCATCTACACAAACACCCAACCACCTACCTAACTACCCACCCACACATCTACCTATCTAACAACCTACCTACCCCCACCTACCAACCCGTAAATATATATATATATATATATAAATATATATATATATATATATATATATATATATATATATATATATATATATATATATATATATACATATATATATATATATATATGAGGTAGTTAGGTAGGTAGTTAGATAGGTAGGTGCGTCGTGATGAAATAAGATTAAATACATCATTATGATGTGTGTTTTGTCAGGGTATTTTTGTGCGAATGAATGTTGATTCGAGAGATATAACGAATTAAGTTTGATGACGCGGATGAAAAAGAGTGGTTTTGCCATAGGAACGGGTTGTTATGGTATGCAAGCTAGGGAGTTCGGA